GTATCCCGAGCGCAAGTATTTAGCCTAAAGGCCCATCCTGAAATGAAGCTAAATTCCCTCATCTGACTGAATAAGTGTGTGCGCGCATACGTTTCAAACAAAGACACAAAGAGTGCAATTGTAACATGGGGAGGTGTGACACCGGAGTACTGGAACCAAATGCTAGCTTTATTAAGAGCGTGGTCAAACAAGCAGGGTAGATGTGGTGTCGTCTGCCGCTCGTCTGAGGAACCACACTCAGTCTTGAGTTTTGATGCCAGAAGATACATTTTATTTCATCATCAATGAAAATAAAACGGAGATGCTCTCTGCAGCGAAACATCTGCAGAATGATCATCTTGTCTTCTTTTTATACAGTTCTGACTTTAAGGCGTGGGGTATATATTCCATACAGTTTTCCATACATAGAATGGTTCCTTTGTGCATACAATTCTCCCTAGAGAGAAGCCCCCCCTAAGTCTTGTTATGGTAAAGAAAGAAAGCCCCCACTTATGTTTCCCAGATGTTTCTCATCTGAGGTCTGTACATTCTGCCACGTAGGCCTGTTTCTACACACAGGCATATGGGATTATAATGGAAGTATAACTGGATATTTAAATGGCTATATTCATAATGATTATACTTGATTAATTCCTATTTGGATTAATAAAAATCTTCTACAATAGTTTTGTACCTGGTTGGCTGCTGGTACGTCTTTAGTGATGCTGCAGGGTCCGAGTGTGAGCACTGGGAGATCCTGACCCTCGACTATACGAGATTCTAGACAGTTCTGTCTCTGCCGGATCACACCAGACTTAGCATCGGAATCATCAGGAACTCTAGATTCGGTGAATGAAACACCACAGTGTTATGATAATAAATACCCCACACACAAAAGAGAGAGGGGAAAAAATACAAATTACGTCCTTAAATATCTCAATAGTTTCAACTAGGAAGTGCAAATGATAAAAAATTGCTTAAGTCTACTGACTTTTAATTGCAGACTTTGGCAAATCTGAGCACAGTTTGGGACAATATTTCTCATCAAATACTTCCAAAACCAATATATAATGGTATATGTGATCATGTTCATTTTATTTCTCTATACTCGATTTCAACTCTCATTGGTGTCTATTTTTATTAAATGAAGCATAAAAAGGAAGCATAAAAAATGTAATTGTTCAAATTAAGACTCAAATGAAACATCATGTTTTATCTCCTACATTACAAGAGCAAAATCTAAATATTTTTTTTAATAATTAAAGTTTAGTCAGACAGTTTCACATGTTTTCTCTTAAACATCTGCAAAAGTGCATCAACATCAACTAATTTAGTTGTCGTATTAATGACAATGACATAAAAAACTGTTGTCTTTTAAGGACAAAAATACTGAAAGTATGTGAAATCTGCCATAGTGGGTGGAAAATCTTTCCCTCGAGACAGATGAAAGCAACTAGTGTACAACAAAACAGCATTAGACATAGAGGGGCCTTATACTGCCATGCTAAATAACACAGCACTTTACAATTATCAATCACCACCCGCAGACACTCAAATACACACACCACACTGACTCCTCAACTCACTTGAGCTCTGGATAGACATTGTCCAGATACCACTTGAAGGATTTGCACTTGAGACTCTTGCGGAGCTCCTGCCTGCCGTGAATGCTGATAAGAGAGGAAGAGAATGAGCGGAATAAGAGATGAATCTTTTCCCTAATGCCTCCCCATTATAGATACACACATAAACATACACATGCTATCAGTCACTCACTCTCCGTAGGATTTTCCCCTAGCAGCCGGTCGAGCTGAGTAGTAGAACAGTTTGAACTCATCCATCCAAACCTCAGCAGTCCTTCTGGTGTTCCTGAAACAGAAAGAGCATTGAATGTGAACACTGAAGTGTCCTATACTAAACACTTCACTCAGAGATTCAACCTCAAGAAGAACATTAGGATGACCTGCCATTTCATCAGTAAAAAATAGTGTACAGACAGGTATTAAACACACTTGCAACTGTAATTCTGACGAAAATCTGAGCAGAAAACTCGATATTCAGAGGGAGTGAAGGTGTTATATGCACATCAATCACTTGTTTTTGTTTGTCATGCATTGCACATGTCTCGGTTCGTCAAGACATTTTATTGGAGGTTATACACTAAAAACTATACATAAATAAACCATATCTGATTTCTATACTGTATATATCTAACATAACTCTGCTAACAGATGTAAAAGGACACGGTTTTTAAGAGTATCTAGTAAAGCCAGCTAATGCCTTCAGCAATTATTCATTAGCGCCTCTGAACTATATGAGGAAACAGATTTTGTTGACTGAGCACACTGCATAGCAATTCAGATTCAGAAAGAATGTTGTGCTATGCCCTTAATATTTCATACGGTTTCATGCTGAGGTTTTTCCCCGGAGGCGAAACGTGATAAAAGCAAACAAATTTTACACAGCATATTTTCTTCCAGGCAGAAGTTGGAGTATTATCGCTATCTTTGGCGAGAAAAATCCAACAAATAACATCCAACAGAGATAAAAATAAAAAAAGATTAACATATTCAAATTTACAGGTTAACAACCCCCAAGGACAAAACAAGGTCTTCTGATGTTGATAAAAAGTGTTACATCCTTTATCAGCAGGAATATATTATCAAAAACTCAGCTGGATATGCTGGATATGAATTATTATTATAAGTTTGTGCACTTCTCAGGACTCTTACTTTATGTAGGTGTTGGCATTGCCCTCCGGGAAGATGTAAGGATGTTTCTTGCGGAATACGTGGCCGACCCTGCTACAGGGAATGATTTCCAGGCTTCCTCCACACATCCATACTCTAAAAGAAATCTCTACAAACACAACACAATAAACACCAATCACACTGTGCTATACAGTATTTTAATAGCATTATGACCTTAGAGAGCATACATTAGCAAAAGTTTTAAGTCAGTAAGATTTATTTATTTATTTACCTACCAAGGCTGCATTTATTTGATCATAAATATTATTATTACTATTATTATTATTATTATATATTTTTTCAGCATGATTACTCCAGTTTTAAGTGTCAAATGATCTTCAGAACTCATTCTAATATGCTGATTTGGTGCTCAAGAAACATTTCTTATAAAGTATATTATCAATGTTGAAAACACTTAATATTTTTGTGGATACAACTGTGATACATTTTAAAATAAATGTAAAATAAATGAAAATCTTTTGAACCATTTTAAATGTATTTCCCATCATTTCTGATCAACTTAATGCATCATTGCTAAATTAATAAACGTAAAAAAATCTTAATGACCCCAAACAGTAGCTAATATTGCAGAAATGTATAAAATGCATGTGAATGTTATGTCATGTAGAGTAATATAACTTGCTGACGTGTATATGTGATTTAAAGGAGCCCTCCAGGATACAACTTCACTCTCACGCCAAGAATTAGATCATACGGTTGAAATCTCCTGTCTAAATATGCCACTGCCCAATGCTCATTTGCAATTATGAGCACAGTAGCCTACTTAAGTCTGAATAAACCAGCCCTGCAACAGCTCCAGTCTAATTCTGTCACATATGCATGGTTAATGATGGTTTAACCCAGCGCAGAGAGAACCATCCAATTCCCCACAGTGCATTGCTCTTAAGAATTTTACAGAGCCAAAAACAAAAACATAGCAGTTAAATAAAGGCACCAAAATACTGTTTGAGAAATTTGATTCCAGAGCTATTTCTAAGTTCAAATGTCATTGCGTGCCATTTCCTCTCTGTGATGAGACAACAACCCTAGGTATCCTGTCAGAGCTTGATCGGGGAAGGAAAGTGATTGAGGCTTATGTGCTGTCAGACAGGTGCTCTCATGCATAGTAATAACTCACCAAAGTTCTCCCCTCCCCAGATGTCCATGGCCGTGTCATATTTTCCCAAACGATTGAACCAGGATCTGTCAATCACAAAAAGTCCTCCTGCGATGATGGGCGTTCTGAGGGTTGAAAGAATGAAAAAAGAGTGAATATTAAGTCTTGACACTAAACACTTCAATCCAGGTGACTGCTTAAAATACTGCTGTCACTCAGGATAGATGTATGAAAACATTTCCTTTTGAATGTGGTGGTTCGGTGAAGAGTCTTGGAATGAGGAAAGAGAATAAAAGGCCCCTGAAGTGAGTGTGTGTGGAAACAGTACAGTCCAGTTCTCATTCTCTGGATGAAGCTCAGCTTGCCCTTCAAAATCACTGTACCCAGAGAGCTGCTTCAAATGCTAAGGACACTGGAGGAAACGGCTCCGGTATTATCGGAAGCATTTGAATTTCATCAGCCGTAATCTCTCATTGTGAAGTGGTAGGACACATTGTTTCATCTGCTGCTTCTCAGGGCCACTCGCGTACTTTCATTTCAGATTCATTTACTTTTCACACATCTGATCTCATCTTGTTTTAGAAGGCAGAAACAAAGCCCAAAAGCTTCAACAATTGGACTCAGTAAATGAGTGGAAAGTGGACAAGCCTGTCAAAGGTTTCACAGATGAGAGAGTGTGAATGAATTTTAAGTAATGCAATAAAATTAATTTCTAGGACAAAGGTATGCAAATAAATCAAATGTATGTTATTGCCAGATTTGAGATCCAGGGGGTGAGGTTGGATCCAGATCCAACTCCTCCCAACTTACATATCCCTAAACCTACCATCTCCACCCCCTGGATGGATCTTGTGTATTGCAGTGAGGGGCTACTGAGATTTGATAGTATGTAGTAATTGTCATCAGATCGCTTAAAAAATAGTTCACATCTCCTATATAATAGTGCACAAGTGGCATGATTTGAGTTGTCCATATAGCACAAACATGGGGGAATGGTTACGAGTTTGAACACATATTAATACCAAGTATGAGCAATATCAATATTTGCTTTTTCAAACCCCACATAATAACTATCTTATGGCATGCTCATATAGGAACTACGTTTAGTATCACCAAACCCACTCTGGATTTTAACTGCACACCCCTGCTGTATTTGGAATAATTTACTCTATTCAAATAATTATACTCTATTCAAAAGTTTGGAGTCAGTAAGATTTTTTACTTTTATATAGCATGGAGGCATTCAATTGATAAAAAGTAAGAGTAAAGACAGTTATAATGTTAGAAAAGATTTCTACTTTAATAAATGCTCATTTCTACTTTAATAAAAACTTCAGAATCTGGAAAAAAAATGATTAGTTTTTCACAAAAATATTAAGCAGGACAATGTTTTCAACTGATAATAATAAGAAATGTTTCTGAGCAGCAAATCAACATATTAGAATGATTTCTGAAAGATCATGTGACACTGAAGTCTGAAGTAATGATGCTGAAAATTCAGCTTTGCCATCACAGGAATAAGTCATATTTGAAAATATTAAAAAATAGAAAACATTATATTTACTGCTTTGATAAAATAAATGGAGCCTTGGTAAGCATAAGAGACTTCTTTAAGAAACATTTAAAAATTTTACCATCCCCAAACTTTTGAACACTAGTGTATGTAACACACTAGATTAGAAACATATAAATTCCTTAGCATGATCTTGGCATTGTCATCCTGGAATGGGTATGCCTTCCAGCATGGTTGTTTAAGAATTGTAAAACTACACACTGCAGTACTTAGGGTAAAAAGAATTGTTGCAAATCATATAACATGCCAGAAACATATTAATTATTTGCAATAATGATCCGAACTTATACTCTTCTGTATATTTCAGTATTCAAAAAAGTTCCCATTTTTAATATTACGTCACAAATATACACAAACTCTTGCCAGTCAGGGAAACAACTGGCTGTCAGTCAGGGGTCATGGTTGTGCTGTCTTTCTCACATATCATGCTGAAATACATACCACTGCTTCCCATCTGTGTCCACACATACACACAGCTTTCAGTGACTCAGTTATCACTGATCTATTCTGCATCTGTTGGCGGATGGGCTGCGAGAGATCCAGGCCGGCTGCAGTGCTGCACAGCATTGCACAGCACGCACAGGAGCAGACGGGATCTGAGCCCCTCTCAGCCTGACTGCCTGCTTATCTAAGCTATTAACTGCCTTCATTACAACAGCCTCTGAGAGCGCTAGGAACAGTGTGAATTACACCATAACAAGAGGAGAGAGAGAGAAAGACAATGGACAAGGAGAAAAAACAACCAGGATTTAAATGTTGATTAGGGCTGCATGATAAATCGCATGCGATATTTAACGCGCATCTTGTCAGTAAAGTCGGTTCTTTAATCAGCGGTAAATCTTCATCACCTGCGGGCTTTCACATGAAGTAGCATTAACTACACAGAGCCGTTGTTCACTGACAAGCTGCGCAAAACCACAATCATATTTTGCGCAGCTTGTCGGTGAACAACGGCTCTGTGTAGTTAATGCTGCTCCATGTGAAAGCCCGCACGTGATGGAGATTTACCGCTGATTACAGAATGGCTTTACTGACAAGATGCGCTTTAAATATCGCATGCGATTTATCGTGCAGCCCTAATGTTGATGTTATTTTGTTTATAATAAAATAATCAAAACTGATTAAAGAAATTTATAGCAACTCAATATTTTAATTATGATATAATAATTCAGTTCTTAATGATCAACCAGGCTGAACTTCCCAGTAGAAAGTACAATACTTCAAATACCCTTTCTCCCTTCAAAGACAACATGAAATTAAAATACTATTTACGTTTCTAATAAATGCCCCTGTTCTAACTGGAAATGATTGATCAGTGTATGCTATTCTTAAAAAATTGTTTTAATCAAAATGTAGTAAATTTCTCCACGTCTAAAACCTTCACATCTAAAGCTTTTCTTTTTTGTGTTACCAAGGCTGCACGGGGGAGGAAAACAATATTAACCAAGTAAATTTTAATATTTCCTGGAGAAAACATGAGTGATTCTTGCCCTTGTAAAACTCACCCCCACAATGTGTAAAAGAGGCTCCAGGCTTCTCACTCCCTGTGTATTTGAGACCGAGCCAATTCTCACCAATCACAGCATAATAATCATCAAATTGAAATTAATCTGAAATTAATCAGTACTTCAATTTGAGATTGAAACTGAAATTATTCACTTCATAAAATTTAGATTCAACACTACATAATTATAATTAAACATATATCTCAAAAAAGATGAAACCAAGTGATACATTGAAAAAACACCAACAATACGTTGGCCGGCGACAGTCATGACGTCACTACCGGTGCGACTATAGTATAAATAGGCGCCGGGAGAACACATCATCCTCTTCTTCGTCTTCATTGACTGTTTTGTTTGAAGCGTGCATTTCTGTGGTAAGAGCGATCTCTATTCATATCATTATGGCGAGCACTAGCAAAGCGTTTAGAGGATGTGTGCATCCGTGTTGTCGTTGTTTAACATCTGATGACACACACGATCTATGCGTTATTTGTTAGGGCGAAGAGCACGCACGCGATGTCTCCGAGGGGGCAATCAGCGTGCACTGCGAGCGTTTTTCCAATGAAAAAGCTCCGCTCTCATTTGTCTCTCTTTTTGAGGAAAGAGGGGCAGCCATCTGCTTCCCGCGATCCAGGACCCGCCGCTGCTG